AACAATATCAGCAAGGAGAAAAAAGACGGATTAAAGAACCGGTGGTCGCGAAGAGGTTTTTACTGTTCCACAGTCTTGACGGTTTTTGATTGCAAGGAGTGTGTTACAACTATGGAGCTAGTGACTTTGAGAGAAAATCTGCAACAATTGATCAGAGTCGTTAAATGCTTAGAAAAGAAATCAAATGAGGGCAAAATTATCCATAATGAAATATACCAGTTCATCATGTATCTCTTGCCAGACATCAGTTTCATAGCTCCTACGTGCACTCATTCAGATTTCTGTGAATGCAAGATTGTGCCAAAAGATGACCACGTTCAGGTTCTCCACTGTCAGCCATTGTACATTGCCATAGTGCTTGAAGAGCTCAAATACCTGATCACAGCTGAGACTTTCGCCTTTAAAATTTTCAGTAGTGTTGAACAGTGAGAGGTGTGGATTTCCTGGTTCAACATCACAATGCTGAAAGTGCCAATACAATGATGGAGTCTATGACAAATTCGTAAAGGTTGTTTTTGATGCCATGCATTGTCCCAAGGCAGTCACTGCGAACAGTCGACACCTCTGGTAATAAAAGTTTGTCAAATTCATCGAAAAGTAGAATCACAGGAAGATTCCATCACCTGGACCACCTTTTGAAAGCCTTAATAAAAGTCTCTGGACTATTTATTTTGACCAGCAGAGAGGCATCTCCTGGAAAAGCTTCACCAAAAGAAGACCAGAAAGCATCTTCTCCTTTGTTGACAGTCACAATTGGAAATCCATGCTATTCAAGGAAATCAATGAAGAGGTAGCTGTTAATAATTAGTATGATCAAACAAGCTAAAACTGTATATTTCTGACTAAGGTAAAAACCTACTAAAAACATTCATATTTCTTCAATCTCCCATCGATTCGAATGCCACTTTCCAATTGGTTTGCAAGCTGCAACATATGAGTAGACTTGCCAGCTGCACGCGGCGCATGAAAGCTCACAAACTCTTTCATGACGACGTGATCGACAAGTGGCTGATTCTCTTCAGTTTGATCCACGACAAATATCTTCCATATGCATCTAGCTCGATGGTCCCGTTTACTGCAAACTTTTTGACTCTTTTATATATACGCCCATCTACAAATAGACCATAGTAAGAATTTATGAAGAACCAAAGATACGGGTGTAAATTGTGCAGACAGATCCTTACCAACGCCAGGCTCTTCCAGCTCTCTCTTTCGCCCTGAAAATAGAAAATAACGGTTCGAAAATTTGAGTGAACGAAAGCTTTTGATAAGCGATACGTCAGAAAAAAACACCGATGCAGTACTCTATCCTACGTACACACTACTCTATGTCCCCAACGCCCGAGTCACAAAGTCGTTACCTGCTTGTCGTTCCAAGAGACGCTGAGATAACGAACTCGGGCAGCATCATTCTTGCATGCTTCCAGGATAGCAACTGCTTCTTCCTTTTGTGCAGGGTTCGTGGTGAAGTATACGTATAGATCCGTTGTTTCCTCCTCTGTTAGAGCGAGACGCGAAATTTCCGAGTAAAGTTCCATAGCTAGACAAGTGTTACTTGGAAGTTCGTTTGTTCGATGGTTGGGAAACGGCTTGAAATTTTGTGTAATGTGCATTGTCGTGTCGTTACACGTGGAGAGCGGCCGTGTAACCTCCTTGAGATTTAGCGTCAATTCGGTACTCTTACAATGCCAAATCTATGAAACATGGCTTTGAATACTTACGAATTGGTTCCATACGCTCTCTGTAGATTTCTAATTAACCTCGAGTGATTATGCACACGATTATGATCCGAAGGAAATTTATTGTTATGGGATAATTAAACTAATTATAACGCGTTCGTAGAAAATTAAATAGAAGTTCTGTAACCGATGTACTATGCAGACTTAGTGGCAAGCTCAAGTCTACAAAGAGTCCCAAAAGCAGCTTTCACGCTTAAACTCTTAATTGGATGAATATCCACGGGAATAAACGATTAACGATGAATTAAATCACCAAATCGAAAACGGGTTTGGTAAATTGGCTTTTGTAGTGCTCACTTCAAGCGGAAAAGTGTCGTTGTTTTTTTTTATTGTTTCTTTGGCGGTGTATTTTTTGAAAAATCATCATAAAGACTCAATTTATTAGTATCGTCCGAGATTGTGTCACCAGCATTTGTGTCATTATGATTTGCGTATTTTATTTATCGATAATTAACATTAAAACAATATCATGGGCTCATAGTATGCATGTTAGCGATACGATAGATAGTATGGGGGCTGTTCATGGTGATCTCCATGAATGTAATCTTCTTTACAAGGAAGAGAAGGCAGTGACATATCCACCATGTCTTTAATCCAGAAATTAACTGGCATCCAAACGTTACCATTGACAAACCAATTAGAAAAGAAGATGATATGTATTTGATTCAGGCAATGATCAAAAAGTTTTTGTTGTAAATGTATTGGCTAATAAATTATGGTAAAATTCGAGCTGCTTATATATAGCCCAATTTTCGTCATAAAACATGAAACACATTAGAATTAATGTCTAAAATTATCCGATTGACCCATTACTTACATTGCATAACCTATTAGCAATCTTTACATGTACAGAATGAATTAATTATCGTCTATGAATTACAAATAATATAACATCAATGTTTTCGAGAATTTTTGACTTGTGGTTCAAAGTCCGAGATTATTTACAATATTTTTCCACAACCTAGACTAGACCAACAACCAAACCCCATCCCCCATCCTCTGTCGCATTGTCGTCGAATGATTCAGTTCGATGACGGCGATTCAGAATTTACAAATCTTGTTTGATCGTGAAATGGATCGTAAAAAATCGACGAGTCTGAGCCAGTCTCATTCGACTGCCCATGCTTATTTTGCTTGTCTGACTGTATGTTATTACTGTCTCCACGATTCCGATCATCATCATAAATGCCGCTGTCTACAACTATATCAATTTCTGCAGAGCTATTATTAGCAGTATCATTGTCATCCCAAACAGTTCTCTTTCCTTTATCGCCATTCCTCGATATATTGTCTTTTGCCGTATCTTCCCCCTTTTCGTCAAATTTCAAAGGACTGCTTCTTCTTCCTCCTACAGTCTCCCTCCTTCGAAACAAATCAGCCAATAAATTACTGCTTATGCCTAACTTGTTTGAGTCATTTCCCTCACTAGCCAGAGCAGATGACCGACGCAGTTCATTTACTAACGCACGAGCGGTGATACTATCTGGGCTAGTCATCACGCTTTCCGGATGGTCATAATCATTGTAATCTGCGTCAGCCGATTCAATAGGCCGTGTTAACGAACGTTGATTGAATGGCATGCTAATGTCACTCTTGGATATTCCGCCTTCTGGAAGTTTCGAGACGTCGTTATGTAACGAACGACTAAATCGCCCGAGCAGCTTGAAAGGGTTCGGAGTGTGACTTTTTATCTTCTCTTTTGATTGTTTCGATGGCGATGATGACATCTTGTCGTTCATTGACTGACCATTGCCTACTGTATCATCATCCGTGGAGGCACTAGTGAGTGTCTTACGGAACGGTAGTATACTGACCCG